TTATAACTGGATGAGAACTCTTAAAGAAAAAGCCTTGACAATAGGGTAACTTTCTCATCTAGACAGAATGCACTGAGGTGTATAAAAACTTTGATCAAAATCTTGGCCACTTAACTTGCACTGACTTTGGGGCAGTTCATAATATAAACTGAGTTCATTTGAGCCAAAGCAGATGAAGTGAAGAACACTCAAATAACTAACCAACACTTAGGAATGTTCCAGGGAAATGGCTATTGTTGAAAAGAAATAGGACCACTCTGGCAGAAAGCTGAACCCATGACAACATTTCACAGCATGGAACAGGAAAATACCTACTTCATAATATGAAGCTTGAGACATGAGTCCTAGATCTTATATTGGATGTTCTGACTGGAAAGCAAAAGGCATTGCATCACAACAGGGACATAACAATATCTTGTTGACCAACAGCACCATGTTCCCCTGAGTAAGACTAAGATTTCCACCATTCTGAATCAACTACACATCCTTTGAATTCCTGCCTAGGTTATTTCCCACTAGCAACCTGGAAGCACTGTTATTTCTGTCACTTCCTTACTTTGACAGTTGTTAATTTAGCAACAGGTTGTTCTCAATGCAGCTGTACCAGATTTGCTGTTTATACTTTGTACTGTTTTCTAAGAGTATGTGGAACCTGTTACAGAAGGAGCTGGATAGGTTGAGAAGCCATTGCTCTAGCAAGCCGAGTGGCTGCAGATTTTTGGTAGTGAGAGGGGAAAAGTATAGCAGGGGCAGGCAAGTGTGCTAACAAGATGGATTTCTTTTAAAATAAGGGCCTTCAAAGGAAAGAAGCATTTGATTAGCACATCACTACCCTGTGCAGTGGGCTCTTTGATGGCCCTGGATAGCACTCATCAGTAAAAGATTAAATGGAATTATTCAAACAGCAGTGCCAGGCACAGAAATTCCATAAATGACGTCTCTGGCTTTGATGTGAAAACACCTGAAACAGAGCAGGCCGGGATTCAGACATCAGGGAAAGGAGCCACTGACATGGAAGTGGAAGAAAGTCACCTAAGGCAATCACTATGGCTTCTAAATGCTTGAGCCTGGCTGTAGTCCAAAGAAAACAGCACTGGAAACTTATCTCATAACACTTGAACCATCCATGAGCCAGACCAGACAGTTACAGCTGAACTGTTTGGTAGCCTTTTGGCATTATAAATATCTAATTTGCAAAGCAGAAATTACCAGTTCATCTTAAAACAAACCCTGGCTAGATGAAATGCTGCTATGTAGCCTTAAAAGCTATGAGTGTAAGTTATCAGTCTGCTGGTTTAAAAGCATGACTTTTGAAAATGTTCAGGTTTGGTGGGCAATTCCAGCACAGCATGCCTGAATCAGTGTGCCTGACTTTGGCAAGCCATGCAAAAATTACACGGATTAACCTGCTGTTTGCTACAAGGTCAAACAGGCAGGCAGGATGTCAGCAGCTCTAGTGCTGCCTCCTTCTTCCTACTAGCTGGGGTTACTAGTGGATCACCTCTTCCCTCACTTCTGATGATACAAGAAACTTCAGATGTGCCTGGATGCAGCCTTAGTTTGGAAGACTGAAGCTGCAGCCAAACAACCCATATCATGTCAGTAAAACCTGATAGAAAAGAAACTGCACTTACAAGGCCCTAAAATGGTCTAATTGTGAAGTGTCTGAAACTAAGCAAAGTGGCAATTCTTCTGACAAAAATTGTCAGTTGGATTTGCTTGCCATACCAGATAAGTTCAGTAATAAAGGAGACTCTCTGTAATCAAACTCACTACACTGTCCAGGGCTATGAAAGAGCAAGAGAGAACACTCTCCTGAATGCAGACTGCCCGCATTTGGCTCTTGGTCCCTGCTCCTGCTAAGTCAATGCAAATCAGAGCTTTCTGGCTGCAAAGCTTTTGCTGCTGTGAATGTCAAAGGCTTTGGCTTATTGCACAAGGTCAGTCATTAGTATTTCTTTCAGGCTATTAATAGGGCCCAGGGAAACTTATGGAAGTGAATTATCGGGGGGGGGGAGTGGGCTTGGCACAGCTTTTAATGAATTATAATTGAAGCAGCGAATCTCTCCTTTCCTTTATCGTTTTGCTGGCAGCATTCAGGATAATGATTAGAAACCAAACATCAGGGATTCTCATGGAACAGGTAGTGCAATGCACAAGCCACCCAACCAGCCCACTGGAAGCACCACCTTCTCTTTCTTTCAGCAGAACAGGGACAGTAGATCTGGAAGGAAGGAATGAGGATTTGTGACATTGTGTGGTTCATATACACCTACACAAACCAATGGTGGCAGGAAGCATCTGCTCTGCTAGAGAAGTGGCCAGGTCTTCCAGTATTATGATTGGCTAAGCATATCTTATATTCATCTGTGATAACCATCACTTCCTGACCACCTCTTAATTGTGAATCCTGCCTTGAAAAATTGATGATGTGGCAAGGCAGCACAAATACAGATATTCTAGAACTGTGGGGCAATGGAGTGGGATCAGGTCTCTTAACTCTGAAACTTCATTCCATGAAATAGCAACAAAATATTGCAAAGTGGCTGCTCTCTGTCCACCCCCTCCCCCAATTACTTTTTGAAGCCTTTGGGTATGGCTGCTCTGGTAACCTATACTAAGACTTCCAGTGAGTCTATTAGGAAGCATTTTATAGCTAAAATGTTACAAACTTTGGGGAAATTATGACATACTCAGGATCATCATGCAGCAAGTTCAGTGGTACAGCCAGCCCATTCTTCAACCTCAACTGAGGGAGCCCTACTGCCTCTCTTAAAACTGTTTCTGATTCCAGTTACAGGCTCTGACCCAAGTGTTCGATATCCTCCTTTCCATTAAGCCTAATCACCTTGCCCCCAATCACCCCTCTTAACTGCAGCCTGCACAAATATCAATATTTATTACAGAGAGAAATATGTACAGCGTTCCACCTGCTACTTGGCACTCTTGGAAGGGACAAGAAAGCTTTGGTCTTTTTGTGACAGGAACAATAACTCACAGACATCAGGCTTCCACTGATTACTAAGAAATGGGCTGGTGGGGTCAGCTATGAGACCTAACTCAAGACAAAACACATGGACAAAGACAACAGTCATTAACCAGCACATGGAGTGTGCTACTTCCTTTTGATGAGAGAGAAGGTTCCTCCGCACCTCGCCCTCCCAGTGGACAAAGAAGTCTTGCGCTTGACCTTTGCATGACCACACATATGGTGTGAGAAAAATGCAAATGCCTTTTGTCCTGATCACATAAGTATCAGAAAATCCAAAGAGGGAAAGCAATAAATATGTCATCTCACTAGGTCTACTCTGTTCAAGTATTGCTTGCTGTAAACATTTTTACTGCAAGAAATCACATAACGACTAGGGAAAACAAAAAAGCTAACCAACCCAGCACCCCAAAGCAACTAAGAAAGCCAATTGTTTTTTTACACAAATTGCACCTGCAGAAGCCCACAATGCGCCAGTTTCAGTTTAAACCACTCACAACTTCCTCAGTGTCAAAAGGACAGGACATTCCTTACGGACACAGTTGACACATACATAGAAAGAGGGAGGAATTTTTGCAGCAGGGTGGAGTTTTTGTCAAAGTAGAAGAGGAATGAAGGACTTTCAAAAATCATAGTGCCCCTCCAATGGTAAACAGGATTGTTAAAAAAATACCATACTCTATAAATACATAGCCAAAGAAGGACTTCAGGATAGATGGGTTGACTGACTGGATGGCTTTTCCACTCTGGTACATGACTGCTAAGTGCCTCTTGAAGGCACAGAAGACTGGACTTCTTCCCCAACTGCACAGTTTCCTTTATTTAAAAAGGTTTGATGCAAACTTGTGCTCATGGGGTTTTTTGTAAGTTCCCAGGAAGAGGAATAACTGAGTTTTTCAAACATTCCCAATGGGTTGAGCGTCCATTGCAAACCATCCACCTGAGCCACAAACAACTCATGAGAGCAGAGGGGCAGTGTGTGCAGCAGAATCTTTGTTTGACAGATATTTGACGTGGCCACTGTGGTTTTGTCCCATTTCATTTTTCTTCTTTCTTTCCTTTTTTTCTTTAAAAAAGAAAAAAAACCTTTAAATAGTGTTTTTGTTTTCTCCTAATATACATCAAACAACTTTCATGCAAAGCAGCAGTCACGAAGGGATCTAGCCTTCCCATGGACCTTTCTAGGTGTATGGCTTGAGGAGCTGAACATCTTGGTGGATCCAGTGGTTTTAGAAATGCAGTACTGATGTTGGTTCTCTCCTGTTCTTTCAACTGGAATCTGATGAGTGATTTCGAGCTAAGTATCTGGGCCAACTTCTGCTTCTTTTTGGAAGCCGTTACAGTATGTCAGGTATAATGCCAGTGGCCTCCTCGCCTGTTCTAACTTTTAATTCCCAGAAGTCTTTGTGGTAACCACTTCCTTCTCCTTGCTCCAGGAGTTCCAGCTCCTTTCTTCAGCTCTCCATAGACATGGCACCAATAAGCTGTTCTACTTTGTATGCTAGGCGCTGCCGGCGCGCCTGCTCATCTTGTTCCAGAGCCCCGATGATCTGGAACCAAGCAGACAAAATTAGAAAAGGGAAGATTAAATGGATGAAAGTAATAAGGGTAGGCAGAAACAACAAAATGGTCTTTCATAATGATTTGTAGTGTTCTCTGTTTCTTCCAGGTCTGGAAATCTGTATATACTGTATCATCACAATTGTAAACATGAAAAGCTATTCATTTTGAATCAGATGATTGGTCCAGTCTCCCCCAATATTGTCTTCTATGGTTGGCAGCATCTATCCAGGCAAAGGTCTTTCCCATCCTTGCTACCCTGAGATCCTTTTTAACTTTTTAACCTTCAGCATATAAAACATACTCTACTACTGGGCCACAGACCACTGAGTGATCTTCTGTAAGTGTAACATAGTCTGATCAACTGTTCAGCTGCATGTATATCAATGTATGAGCATACAGATAAAAATATAATAATCTGCCTGAGTGCACACACAGTCCTGATTCTGTGTACAAAAACTGACAGTGAGGAAAAAAATATGTTGATTTCATTCCATGGACTTCACATGAGTGAAGCTCTAACACTGGAGCCTAGCTTTGTAAATATTTGTGGTAGACCTACTAAGTATTTTCCAGAGACTGAGAAAATGAACAATGTCCAACCCTCTTAATAAGTAAAATTTAATTACGAGGCAGTAAAAACTAATAGAGAGGCAGCCAGTATAAATCTAGTCCTTTAGGTATATTTCCCCTGCAACAATGTACAGGATGAAAAGAAGGCAAAGTGTAGAGGGCTACTGCATTCAGCAGCACCTAGTCATTTCTGTGTTATCGTGTTGGTGCACATTACTGGCAAGGCATACAGTCATATGCTGGATGCTACATTCCCTGTTTCATTTAGCAAGAAAGTAATGAGGTTCTCATCTCTAATTGGCAAATGGCTGCTGCACAGTACCACGTATATATACATGCAATTAAATGACAAAAACCTTGCCTTTAATGGTTGTAATTGCAAAATAGGCTTTTCTTGCATTGCAAATTAAAGGGCTGAACAGATGGTAGAAACTTGGTTTCAAGTGATGCATCCATCAGAAGAGCCCATGCTGCCAGCAACGCTTTGCAAAATAGATCACGCCTAGGTTCTGCCATGGTTTTCGTTTCCAGGGAGAAAGGGGAAGGGGAGGGGATGGTTCCAAAGGTCAGAAGAGTTTTTAAAAGCATTTAGATACCAGTGCAGGTTTTCTGGACAAAAGGAATGATGCTTTTTCTGTGTGCTGCAATCTAATTATATAATAGGTGATCACTAATTTGATTCTGTTTCTGATAACTTCAGATAATGGCAAAGACAGTGAATATAAATCAGGAAAAGGTTATTCAGAGAAAACTGAGAGGATTTTTTTAACTTCACATGTTTTTGTTTAAAAAATCTCATACAACTTAGCTTTTAAATATATGATGCTGGGCTTTAGAAGTAAGGACAATAGTGAATTTGGATTGGATTTTGCAATCAAATTAGGGCATCCCCTCCTTCAGATTGCTCACTGGATTACATTTCATTCCATGGGACCTCTGATGAGCAATCTAACAAAGGTTTTCTTTCGTTTCTTTTTCTTTTTCCCCTAGTACCTTTAGAAAATGCAGACTAGAGGGGGAAAGTGGAAGTACCACAGGAGTCAAATGGGGACTTTTGCAATTTATTGACCTTGGCAACTATGCTTCCAGAAGGTTCAGGGTATATATGAAGTAAATGAAATAAATATATAAATGAATCTTTATTAAGTGGCAAGATTGCACAAGTGTGCTTGTATAACACAAGTGTGCTTGTATAATAGGTTTCCAGTAGGGATTCTGGCACTTACAGAAGGTTCTCTGGATCTCTGCCCATTCTCTTCACTCCTACCCAAACCCTATAGGGCAATTTCCATATGGGAATGAATGTGTGATCTTTGAGACTGAATGGACTGAATTTGTGATCTTTGGGCCTCTTTAAAGAGTCGCCCCATTCTTCAAACAATTCAAAAAATAAGAAATGCCATCAACTATTCCCTACTGGTTCTCATCGGGCAGTTTTCCTATGGGGCTAAATGTAAAACCTTTGGCAGCAGGGTAGCTTTTCAACGTTAAATTTGAAAAACTGTAAATCTGGCTGGATAGGGAAACTACCCTTCATCAGAGTTCATTTAATTTGTCAGACTGACTTTGGATCAAATTCCCAGTAGAAGAGAAGGACCAATCCCTGAATAGGCTGGAACTGTGAGACTGTGACTGGAAGCCCCCCCCCTCCCTTGGGCTTTTGATAATGGCATTTTATACATGATTTTGGAAATGAGAAGTTTCTAAAGCATTGATATGCCATGGAGAGGGAGCTTGCTGGAGAATAATAAATAGATGATGATGATGATGATGATAACAACAACAACAATAAAACAATAAACAACAACAACAATAATAATACACTGTCTGTCCCCGGACACATGTACTCCCTTTGGTTCATCTAAATTTGTTCTTTAGATATGGGCATGAACTTCCTCAAAAGCATATCTTTGCTTCATTTTTAACTGGTTAGATCTCATGGTCCTACTCATTTATTACTCAGTAACAAGATGTTTTTATGGTCCTGAACACTTATATCAAGACCTGAATTTATTATATGAGCTTTTGGAAATACATCTTTTAAAAACATTTTAACTCAAATGTGGAGGTCAGTAATAATTGACTGTTTCTGACAGGAAAAAAACTCATTTTAAGTCTCACAAGGCCATGCTTTTATTACAATGTTTGTTAAGATCATGTATTAAGAAGCACAACTTGCATTCTACATATGTCAATATTTCCTGGATGGATGTCAAGAGAATATCAGTTATGAGAGAAAACAAAAGTTCCTGTTTCAAGGCAAAGCCACATGATAACTTTTAGCTGAGTAAGACCTTCGTAATGGTACAAATGATCATGCACTGTATTCTAAGGGGTGGAGTCATGGCTCAGATGTAGAGCATCTTCTTGGCAACCAGAAGATTCCAAGTTGCATCCCCAGCACCAGCAGTTACATGAACACACATACATGAAGCTGTCCTATACTGAATCAGACAATTGGTTCATCAAGGTCACTATTGTCTACTTAGATTGGAAGCAGCTCTCCAGGGTCCCAAGCTGTCATTTTTCACATCACCTACCACCTGATCCTTTTATAACCGGAGATACCAGAGGATCAAACCTGGGACCATCGGCACACCAAGCAGATTCTCTGCCATTGCGCCACAGTCCCTAAGAATCAGTTCAAAAAATAAAGTAGTAGCTTGTTATGAGAGAAAACAAAAGTTCCTGTTTCAAGGCAAAGCCACATGATAACTTTTAGCTGAGTAAGACCTTCATAATGGTACAAATGATCATGCACTGTATTCTAAGGGGTGGAGTCATGGCTCAGATGTAGAGCATCTTCTTGGCAACCAGAAGATTCCAAGTTGCATCCCCAGCACCAGCAGTTACATGAACACACATACATGAAGCTGTCCTATACTGAATCAGACAATTGGTTCATCAAGGTCACTATTGTCTACTTAGATTGGAAGCAGCTCTCCAGGGTCCCAAGCTGTCATTTTTCACATCACCTACCACCTGATCCTTTTATAACCGGAGATACCAGAGGATCAAACCTGGGACCATCGGCACACCAAGCAGATTCTCTGCCATTGCGCCACAGTCCCTAAGAATCAGTTCCAAAAATAAAGTAGTAGCTGATGTGGAAGACCTCTACCTGAAACCCTGGAGATTTGCCAGTCAGAGTAGACAGTATAACCTGTTTAGACCAATTATCTTACTTAGTATAAAGTAGCTTCTTGTGTTCATATGTATCTGTCAACTGTTTCTTGTGCCTTCCTCTGGAGCTCAATAAACTCTCAATACAGCTGGAATCAGGCAGGTAGGTTAGAACGAAGCCAAACTCTCAATTTGTTGTCTTTTAAGATAAATGGCTCCTTCAGCACTTCTCCCCACTCCAAGGAGGGAAAGATCTCTTACCTCTTCACTGTATTTGCTGACATAGGAGTAGATTTCATTGAGTGCACTCAGCATGTTGAAATCAACAGCATGCAGACGTGACTGCTCTGCGAGGTAGGCATTCATATCCTGGTCACTGATGGCTGGGAGTTTTGCAATATCTGCATAATACCTGCACAATTCAGTGGAAAGGAATGTGAGAATGGTATAGCTTGGTAAGAAACCTGAACAAGTTTTTTTTTTTTAGTAAGTCCCATTTACATTCTGTCTCAGTTTGTAAACTGTGCCCACTGTTTCTGAAAAGTGCCTCTATGTCAGCCCTGCACAACTTGTGGTCCACCAAGTTACCTCCTGTTTTGTTATTTAGTGACGCGGGTGGAGTGGGGTGTCAAGCACTTTGCAAGTCATTAATTTGGCTGAAAAGCTATGTCTGGATTGGTGCATAGGAACTTGTTCCTGCCTTAAAGCTACTCCAAGATTTTTTCAGCAGGCAGGCTAGGCCATCAAAAGAACTGAAACAAACATCCTGTTCATGTAGGTTACATGGCCAATCTTAAAACAAACAAACAAAACTAGTAACACATATATTAGCTAGTAACACATACATTAGCATGCATTTTCTCATTGATATTTTAGGTTTTCTGAAAAGGACCAAAGCCTGGGCCAGAATTGAAGGTGCATTTAAAAAAAACAAAAAAACCACAACCCTTATACAGTACTAGATATGACTGAAAGGACAGGAAGAAGAAATTATATTAGGAAGTAAAACCAGAAAGCAAATGGGAAAGAATGTTGGGTCTCTTCTAGAATTTGCAAGTGATCCATTAGTAGGTTTTATGCATGAATGGAGATGAGCTGAAAACCTTTTGCTCTTGCTCTTTACCTGGCCCTGTTCAGCTTAGTTCACACGTTTACAGTAAAACAGCTATAGGCACACCAACTGAAAAACATGGGGGCTTTAGAGTAGCAAATCACGATGCAGCAGGTGCTGCCCAATTCCCACACTGACCTCTCTACCCAGCTCTTATAGCTGGGAATGTCCTTGGCATACAGCAGCTTGTTGGAGGGGGAGTCCTTGCCAAGGCGGTGCTCTGAGGTGGAGCATGAATCCATAAAGGTTTGAGCCACGACTGAAAGACAGGCATCTGTGATACTTCCTTTGTGGATGTCAAAGACAAACTGGGGGTTTTTAATTACATTCACCCAGAAGCGTAGAGGAAGACTGTAGGAAAAGAGGAGCAAAAATTACAGAAACATATGTTACAAATCCCAAAGGGAAGAGGAGCACGCTGCAGAAGAAGAAAGGGAACCGGATTATATTTGGTACCAATTTCCAGCTAAAGTTAGGTGCAATATGAAGTTTTGGCAAATCTCCTGATGGTTTTTCCATTGTTCACACACCTCAGAGCTGCATCTATCAGTGTTAAAAGTTACACACCACTTTTATCCATTTTCTGGCAGTTTAATCCCTCCCCCTCCAGTGTACTTGTGTTCGTATCGATTTTATTTGATTTCAATTACTATTTCCCACTTCCCCACCTAGTGGCAATACTGGAAACAAATCTCTGATGGGGCAAAGAAAGAACAAGGCAGGTTTTGAAAGGCTGAGTTCTGTCTCCCCTGTGCAAACTGCTAGGGGAACATGCAAAAAAGCCCACTCATCTTTTCTTTCTGCAGCTGTGAAGATTGGGGCAAGAGGAAGAGCTTATTTTTTCTATGCCACCTGTAGTATGCTTATGATCATGCTTTTGCAGTTTGGAACGTTACATATTTAAATAAGAAATTATAAAGATCTCCCTTTTCTTTTGTTGACTCTCTGCCTGTAAAAGCATCAGAGGCTACCAATCAGTCCATGGAGAAGGGCCACAGTTCACTGTCCAAACACTGTATGCTTTGCATACAGAATTTCCTAGGTTTAATCCCTGGCATTTCCAATGAGGTGATCTCATGTTGGAAGGCTGGAAAAGATCCTTGCTTAAGACAGAATTGGCTAGATGGACAATTATCAGGTTACATGTAAGGCAGCTTGGTATGTTCACAGCTGAAAGGGAAAACTATGCTGATGACCGAATATAGAGACTGGAGAGCCCCTGTCTCTCAGGATTTTTTCCTAGCTACTGCTTGTGAAGATCAGTAACAGTTGGGTAGCTTTCTGTGCTGAAAACCCCTGTGGTCTGGCAGCCATGGGAAAAATCTCTTTGCTGATCAATGCCACTTGGTAGCTTTAAGAAGTGTCAATTTATTCTGGATTCCAACATTTTATCCTAATAACTCATTTCTCTAAAGCTTTTGCTAAATTGTTTTTAGCCCTGCACAAGCTTAGCAGGGAATCTGGCTTTGGCAGACACGATTAGAGGCTTTTCAAACACAAGGGATCGAAAAAGTGTGTGTGTGTGTATATATACACACAGACACACATATATACACACACACACATATATAAACACACACACATATATGTGTGTGTGTAAAGATCTGATCTTCCTTTTGTTGATATAGTCTAGGGGTAGGTGTTTGGTGCATGTATCAATTTTTATTCTATTCTTAGTAGTAACTTTCTAACCCAGGGAACTTTTAATCCTAAAATAACAGCAAAGAAAAAGATGTAACAGTGGCAACTGTTTTGAAAATACGGAATTCAACTGCTGCTGGGTTCCTACCCAACTGAAGTCCTTTGAAACACTGTGGAAGTGACTGACTGAGCGCTCGTGTGTGTAGCAGCTTGCTCTCTCACTTTTACAACAAAGGCTGAACGGTAAAAGCACCCATTCAAGTTCAGTTTTGCCAATGCAAAGCCTGACCATTTTCAGTCATGTTTTTGATAGCCCCCTTGAGATTCTGGCTCTTTCCCCTCCAGAGTCTTAGATGCAGATACAAGAAGCCCATGGGCCTCAGGGAGCTGGCAGTTCTGGCAAAAAGCTTAGGAAGGATGCCAAATGCAATTAAGCAAAAACTCAGGTGGTTTTCCTTTATATACCCCATGTGAACCCTTCCCCGGGCCATGTGTCTGGCAACAGCCTGACCCATTCTAATTCCAGAGTCACATGGCCTGAGAGAGTGATTATACATATATCAATGAAGGTTCATGAAATTAATGAATATTTGGTTCAGTCTTAGGTGCAATGAGGGGGAGGGGCTGTGGCTCAGACTACCTGCTTGCCCTGCAGAAAGTCCCAGGTTCGATCCCTGGCATATCCAGTTAATAGGATCACATAGGAAGGTGATGTGAAAAACCTCTGCCTGAGACCCTAGACAGCCACTGCCAGTCTCTCTTGATATATATATAAGCGTATGACAGATTCATGTGTGATATTTCGGTAATCCTCATGTTGACTTCCTTCAGTACCTCTTATCCAAACTTTTCCAAATTCTGTCATTTCAGTAATGGAGTGGATGACTATATCCTCAAGGTACTTATTTTCAGTTCAAGGCACATGGATTGTACATCTGGTTCTATTGACTCATAGTGTATCACTTAGTCAGCTATCACTTGCCGTTCAAGGAGCATGGATTGCACATCTGGCTCTGTTGACTTATAGTGTATCACTTTGTCAGCTATCACAAGGGTAGGCAATCCCCAGTATGTGTGTTGATCAGTGGCACACCAGACTATTTTGCTCGGCACTCAGGACTGGTTCTCCATACAATCAACTAAACTCTTGAGGAGCTCGAGCACCACTGGGGCTCGGGCTTGTTGCTAGTGTGTCCTGCCAAGTACAATCTCCTTCTCCCTCCCCTTCCATTTGTGGGCATAGGTTGATGCTTCATTCCCCCCTCCCCCACAGCATTCAGCCCAAAATAGTTGTCTATCCCAAGCTATACATTATCAAGTTATGGAATAATTAATTAGACAGGATTAATGAATAGAAATGTATTGATTCAAACAATATTTACATATGGGGGGCCCTTGAGGTCAAATTCTGCCATACCAACCCAACATACATCTTGTACTTTTCCTTGAAGTATTTTATTTGTAAAAGTAATCCTGACAGAACGGAGCCCTCTGCTGCACAGAATAATTAGAATGTCCATACAGCGTGCAGCATACTAGACAGTCTGAAATTTAAAGGATGTAGATATTTACTCATAGTTTCAGACACTAATACTAATTCCTTATTCAGCTACTGCCCAGTTTCCAACATTGCCTTGCTGGATGTTAAGCTGGATGGGTCAATTAGAGAATCAGGTGAACTAAGGTGACTATCAGCTTAGGCCTTTGAACAGGCTATGCCCTCAATCACAACCATGGCTCAACAAAGGAAAATTTAGCCTACTGCCCCAGGAGAGATTCCGGTACTCTTTGGTAGCACTGATCTAGGGTTGCCAGCTCTGAGTTAGGAAACACCTGAAGATTTGGGGAGGTGGAGCCTGGGGAAGGCAGGGTTTGGGGAGGGGAAAGACCTCACGTGGGTATAATGCCATAAGAGTCCACTCTCCAAAGCAGCTAGGGGAACTGATCTCTGTCAGCTAGAGATCCATTGTAATACCACGAGATCTCCAGACCTCACCTGGAGATTGGTAACCTTATACTGATCACAAGATACTGGTGATGTAGCAGATGATTGGGCAGCTATTTGTGGAACTGCTTCAGAACAAATTTGATCATGCTTGCATTCCAACCTTATATGAGCCATTTTAAGCAAGTTTCACTAAAATTCTGCAGAAGGCTGCCTGTACATGGATTTGTGTTATGGGGGTCATATCTGGCTGGAAACAGATGGCACTAAACTATAAATATTAGAGAACAGGGTAACAGTGCATCTGTAACACTGAACTGTTACTGTTAAGAAGGAACTGCCTAGATTGGTGTAGTGGTTAAATGCGCGGACTCTAATCTGGGAGAACCGGGTTTGATTCCCCACTCCTCCACTTGCACCTGGCTGGATGACCTTGGGCAAGCTGTTCTTGAAAAAAGAGCAGTTGTGAGGAGGGGGAGGGAAAGGAGTTTGTAAGCCGCTCTGAGACACCTTTGGGTAGTGAAGGGCAGGGTATAAATCCAATCTCTTCTTCTTCTTCTAGATGGAAAGGGGTTTGGATACAATAAGGCTACTTCCTTCTTCAGCAGTGAGCTAACTGGGGAAGTATTAGTAGGAGAGCAGAGAGTGTCTCCTGTCCCCCCCTCCACCTGTAACAGTTTTCGGTTAAACGTTGAAAACCAAGAGGGATTTATGAAAATGCCTTCTCTTGGATTACAGGCCACAGTCTGAGTTTCCAGAGTTACCTTTCCTCAGCCAAGAATTATGCCTTTGCCATAATAATCTGAAGAATCCACATCAATGCAATTTTAGATTTATTAAGAACATTTCAGCTGTAGTCAGCAGATCACATTCTGTAATTTACTAATTATGACCACCAGGGGCAGTTTGTAATTTCTTTGGCACTTCACACATAGAAAAAAAAAGTCAAAACAATTTAAAATGGGCTAGGTCGGGGCAGAGCCACAGTGTTAAAACTACATCAGGTGCCTCAGTTTGCACACTGATAAATCACACACAAGATGTGCATCTAAATGCAGCAAATATGCTAGCTATATCCAAACAACAACAATAATACATGTTGCTTGTGATTTCCAATCCAATATAGAGAACCATAAACATTGTCCCCATGTTTACCTTCAGAAAGCAAGTTGGAAGCATTTTAGTCAGGCTAGTTCTATGACAAACTTAAGACCTGTGTCTGAACTCCACAAACCACATTCTGACCACCAGCCCCTGAATACTGATTGCTGCGTCTCAGTCCTTTGCCCTAACGTGGGTTCCACACCCATAAACCTTGCCCACTCTTACCAGTTGCTCTTCCAGGTGTGCCTCACATCTGTGTCGTGGATGCCATGCTTATCAGCCTGTTCATCGAGGAAATCAAACATATATTTGATGGCCAGTGGGAGAGCGCTGCCTCGGTGCACAGTGCTGAACAAGGTTTCAAACAAGTCATCTACAAACTTTTGCAGCGTACCCTTTATGGAAAGAGAAACCAGTGTGAGAGTTGGCTGCAAAGAAAGGCAATGTCAGGCACAGAACAGTAACATTATAGGCTATGCCTAACCCTAAGAATGAGTACAATTATTTATCCATTACTTTTACTTAAAATACAATACTTTTAAAGCACAAATTTATGCTTCTTTATATGTATTTCAGAAAATGACAGATTATTATTACAATTATTTGTTTATTTCATTTATGCCCCACTTTCCTCCCCAGTGGGGAATCAAAGTTGCTCACAACATTCTCTCCTTCAATTTGTCCTTGCAACAACCCTGTGAGGTAGGCTAGGCTAAGAGTGTATGACTGGCCCAAGGTCACCCAGCAAGCTTCCACAGCCGTGTGGCAATTTGAACCTGGATTGTCCCAGACTCTAGACTGACATTCTAACCACTACCCTGTGTTGGCTCTCTATATTCCCCAGCTGATATTATAGTTTTATTTGGAAAGTGATCCAAGAGCAGTATTTTTATTCTTTCAGTCAATGTTGGTTTCTTTTCTTTTTGAAATTCTCTTTGAGCTGTGAAAACCACACGGCTGTTTAGGCTGTAGAGGAAAACAGTGTGTGCACCTGCGCCTGAGTGTATAAACACACAGACACACATACATATCCTATACAGTTTGGTCTGTTTTAAGTAGGTTCCTTGTAGGTTTGGAACTGGTAACATTTATCTGACCTGTTTACAATCTGGGATTACTTCTCTCAGACAACTGTATTACCATTGTTTCATTGTCCATTTAATTTTATGTCTTTCAATATGGCATGCAGAAGCACGCATTATGGCAGATCGCTGAACAGCAATAAATTTAACCATGACCCATTGTGGTCCCTCTATCCAACAGTTGGAAAGCAAATAAAGAACTGGTCCTGGGCCAAACAACCTGAACTTAATAAAATATAAAAGGGAGAGTCTCTAATTTGACCCTCAAGACAAGAAGTGCATCAAAAACCCAAATGGGGCAACAGTCCCATTTTAAAAAAAATTCTGGAAAGACTTAGTTGGCAAAAAGCACAAAGCTCCTCAGGTGTCCCTACAGCCTTCATGTTATCAGTGCATGTTTATATTTTCTGATATTAAAGATATTTTCTGATATTACAGATATTATATTTTCTGATATTACCTTTGTAGCTAGCAGCCTGGTCAGATAGATCTCTGACACCATCTTGCTGCCCCGATCACCCTCCTTCTGGTCACCATGATCATGATTCTTGACTAAATGCCAAACTTTCACCCCACTTTCTAGATCTGGGGTAATCATGGGTGCCCTGGAGCGGAGACTGTCTGGACTGCCTGTGTACCGAAACGTGGAATCTGGGTAGGAGGAGAAAGAAGCTGGTAATGCACAAAAGGAAAACAGCCTTGATTACATCTCTGTCTTGCTTCATGTCCACAATGCACACATTGTTAATTGGCTTAGGCAAACAGTAATAAGTATATAATACACTAGCAAGTCATGGGGTTGTATCTAGCATCTCTGTTCCATGGAGAATTGAGATTTTCTCCAAAGTGTAGCCTCTCTTGCTAGCAGAAAAATCCTTCTGCCAGAGGAAAGTTCCACTGCCCATGGAATTGAGTCACTGGACAGAGTCGGTGGTCTGTCTTAAACAGTTTCTAGTCAACTGCGCTGGTCCACCTAATGTTTTCTGTGCTTTATGTCATGAGGGAATAGTGGTACTATGTGCAACTACATTTGGCCTCCAGGATTCAATGGATCTTTATCATTATTGGTCCAGTCTAGTGGCCATACATTCGGAACTAAAATCAAAATATTCTACAATTTGGCCTGTTTGGCAACCACACCTATAATATGTAGAGCAAGCTTAGGAGATATTTTTATTTATTTATTTATTATTATTA